GCTGACGTGCACGCAAACACGCGGCAGACTGTGGGCGCGGTGGTAACACAACCTCCTGGGTTCCCTTCTCACTCGGGCGTCTTCTCTGTGTGCAGGGGGCCGTATTTTCCAATAGGGCACGGTAGGCACTGTGGTTAGGGCCTACAAAAACTAAAGGGCCTAGGAAAAAAATGTTGACACATTTTTTCTTATGATAATAAAATGTAGCCAAGATATTCTTCTTGAAAAACATATTAATATATAGCAAGGATTGACACTGTATATGTAACGAGGCAGCAGAGGTTTTTTTTATCAGCTTTAGCTTCAAACAAAGAATGCTGCCCTTCACAATTAGTTCCCAAGATGGCAAGATACATCCTTAGAGCAATGTAAACATTCGGATAACATCTTCAGTGTTCAGAAGATTGAATATTTTGTTTAGGCTTTTACCTTGTTTTTAAAAAATAATTTATAATATCCGCAGCACACAGTGTGTGAATTAGGGCACAGACTAAATAATTAACTCATCAGTAATGACATCTGTCCAGCGGCTGGACGAAGTAACACGCGAAACAAGCGAGTGACAACAGCGGTAGTACAGTACACCCTTGTTAATTCAACACATCTTCTTGGTTCTTTCGGTCGTGGAGATGGTAGCGGTTTTGTTACAAGGGTGTCAAGTAACGGCGGTGTTCTAACGGCCGCGTGCGTCTGCGTTTACCTCCCCGTGACTGCAGGATCCTGCCGTACACTTTCGCGGGAGACGTCTTCATGGTTCCGGACGACCCGCTGGGGCGGCACGGTCCCCGCCTAGACCAGTTCCTCACCAAGCCCAAGTCCACGCGGTAACTAGCGCCGTCTCGTCCCCACGGTCCCTCGCCGGGGGGTTGGGGTGGTGAGACGCGGTCTCAGCTCTAGTTGTGGTGTCAGCACTTTGACCCGCGTGGGCCACCGTTTTGTTTAATTTGTTATTTCCCGCTACATGTAATCCCCCGCCCGCTCACCAGTCGTGCTCTCGGTGGCCCCGTGTAGGAAGACGCTTCACGTTAGAGAACGGCCCCGTAGAAGCGGATGCCACGGAGGTACCTCGGAGGATCCTTGAAGTGACCCCCGGTCCACGCACAGTAGAGGGCAGCGGGTGCCGTGGCGGTTTGCACTCCGTGCTACGAACCCGGCCGGCCCGAGTTCGATTCCCACTCACGGCCAACTCGATGAGTACGTGGTGCGATGTGTAAACATCTCCACTGGGGAGAAAAAGCCGGCCGGGCGTGGTGCTGGCCACCCATTCCTTCGTGTGCCATGCCGGCCTTCATTCAGTGCTCGCGAAAAGCTGCAAAATTCTGTATCGGCTATACGAGGCGGGCGGGTGGGGAATGTTTGTCTACACAGGCTGACGAGCGTACCCTACGTTTGCCTCGTCACACAGATTGATGCACCACAACCCGGCCGCGTACCAGGCGAAAACCTTTCCGCTCCGCTTACCGTCGGCGGCAGCCGCCATCGTCGCAGGCGTCCCGGGCTTTCACTCCATGAACGACTGCGGACAGCCGCGGCCGACAAACGACCTGCAGGATCTACGCAGGCAGCTCCTGGACATCTTCCCCGGCGAAGAGGAGAAGGTGCAGCGGGTGCTGCAACAATACCCGGCGGTGAATGACCTCAACTTGCTCTCGGACCTCATGCTGGACGTGTAGTGAGAGGGGGATGGAGGGGGCTTGGTAACCCCCCCGCCCGCCCTTCGTCATCTCGGCGTTCTGCCAAAACTTGTCGGCGTCTACAGCAACGCGGTACAGCTAGAGAGCTGGGCACGTGCGGGGAGTGGTGGTAGTGGTGGCGGCCGCGCTTACGGTGGTGGCGATGGTGGTGGCAAGTACGAGGAGCAAGCGGAGAGCGAAGGCCGGCAGGAGATTGAGCGAGCGGGGCTCACAAGCGGATGTCACCATGACGACGATGATGACGGCGGCGGAGGCGATGATGATGCTGTTAATCGTGGTGGTGGTGTCGCTGTCGCTGTGATCTTGGCGATGACAGGATGGTGGCAGCCCTACGGTGTGGCAGACACGCCATCACGGTGATGGCGAGGCTGCGATGGGGTCCTGTTATGAATCTGTGAAGCCCGGCCTGTCACCGCCACTTCACCGTGGATGCACATTCGAATTAAACTGCAGTGATACCAATGTTGTAAATATTTTGGTTATGGGCGTTTAGTTAATTCAATTTAAGGTGTTAATTTAATTTCTCACGAAGTGGCGGACAAAGAGGAGAGGAGGCCTTCATCCGGAAGTGGATTTCTGAAAATATTTATTTATTGTGTGAGTTTGCAGCCGTTCCAGAAAGCCGCCAACATTGGCCTGCCTGCCCGAGCAGCCTGGCTTCGATAGGCATCACCGTTTAGAAATTGTACATTCCCCCCATCCCTCGAGTCATCAGGGTCAAGATGCGTTTGCTGCAAGCTGCTGCACCTTCGGTCATCTTGGGCTGAAGGAAAAAAGCAAGCCCGTTTAAAGTCACCGCTGCTTTCGCTATGTCATATAGATCTTTAACAACTGGGCGAATTGCTTTGTAGAGGTACTGTTGATGTTACTGTACTGCGTAGGATTCGGTGAATTTCACCCCGAGAACCTACGAGTTTAAATAAAAGATGTAAGCGCTCTCATGACGAGGGTTCTGATCCAGATGGAAATGTTCCGTCCCATCGAATCGGCCGGTCCAGCCAGGAGACGGTGCTAGGAGGGCGGGTTTGTCGAACGTGTTACTTTTTCAATCTGTTGCACTTTGTTGGTGTTTTGTTGTCGATGGAAACACCGTGACGAAAACTTTACACGCGAGAGCTCTTACTCGCGATGTTATATGGATTCATAATTGATTTTTTTTGCGTGGTTTTTCGGTGTGGGGGGGGGGGGGGGAACATTGTCAACCTGTGACGACCTACCGACCTCCACCCGACACGGCCAAAATATACGCGAGAGTCAAAATGCGCCGTTGCATTATCGCTGCGGTACGCCGCAGGGCAATCCGCGTGGCGTTTCGCAAATTTGCTCCGGACGTTTCGCCGCCAGTTGCTGCCAAGCCTAATCGGCTGCTTGCCAGACATTTTTGTCGCGCGACTTCGTGTAATGAATTATTTTTTTTCAATCAATCTCGTAATCTGACCCCCCCCCCCCCCCCCAAAAAAAAAAAACAATTATGAATCACTTGTGATTAACACTACAGCCTGCGGGAGCCGTGGGCTGGATAGACAACGGCAAGTTCAGCGATGGGCTCAGTCAATGTCTATAGATTCAATCTACGGGGTGGGGGGGGGGGGTGTTGAGTGAATGAACCCCTACATTTCGATGTAAAGCTTTCGTGACTGCAGGGATTCATCTTCTTGGTTCTTTCGGTAAAGTCACGTAGAAGGGAAGTAATAAAATAACAAAAAAACATAATAAAATAATTCTCACGACGTTTCGGCTACAACGCAAGCAGTCGTTGTAGCCGAAACGTGAGAATTATTTTATTGTTTTATTTTTATTATTTTATTACTTCCCTTCTACGTGACTTTACCGAAAGAACCAAGAAGATGAACCCGTATATGTTGCATAGAATGGATTTGCGCGATGCATTCGCCCCAAATGCGTTGCTGCGGTTGGCCACAAGAGAAGGCGGAAAAAAAACATCCTTCGGTGTAATTGACGATTGAACGGATGACGAACCGGGCAAGGCGGCGGAGTGAAGCACCGTGCGTGAACAACGTGTGGTCACGGGAAGAAGCGGTGGTGCAGCGGTTAGCACGCTGAGCGACGTACCCGGCGACCCGAGTTCGATTGCCGCTCGTGGTCACCAACACCAGTGACGTATCTGAAGCGGTCCTGGGCCTCCCCTAGGTCGACTGAGCCTCAAGATGGGAACCTGGTGTGATGAGTAAAACAATGCCGCTGGAGAGACGGGTCTTTTGCGGCGATACAGAGGGGCTCTGTCAGCGAGTGGTTTTTGCCGCTATTTGCGCAGATGACAAAACGACGCTGCGTCTCTTAAGAGTTCATTTATTTTTCTACCGGTGTTTAAAACGATGCGTTGCCCTGGGAGGTTTTCACTCTCTTATTTGTTCAAAGTTCGTGTTTTCTATAAATACAAAAAAAACATTCACAACTGTTTACGTTTCCGTGTCGTTTAATAAATCCAACACACAATCCCCGTACAGATGGAAACTGGATGGGTGATTAAGTCCACCTTCTGACCGACAAGCCAGGCTTATACTGGTAGGAACGAAGTGAACCAGCCTACAATAGATTATATCGTCCGTCCGTCCGTGTAGCAACATCGCCCCCTACTGCAAACACTTGGCAGGACCCTACAAAAACCTTTACACTCAGTGAGGCTTTCCTGGCTAAACAAGTGTAATAATACAGTTTATATTCTTTGGTTATTCGTTCCTACCAGCCCACCCCGCAGGGACCTGTTATGGCACCACCTCGACACCCACGGGCAGGGGAGGTTTACGTGTTGTTGCGGTGATCCATCAACCCCCTCGCTGCTGCTGCCTCCACAGCGCTGGGTCATGCGCAGCCAGGGTGCCAGCGGCAAGCCACCACCGCCGCCCGGCTACAATTCCAGTGAGTGCGAGAATGAGACCACTCCTCGCTAAACACAACCCATTCGCACAGTGCAGTCCGTGGTCTCCCCCGCTCGCCTCCATCTCTCGTTTACAGCCCTGCAAAGCCAGCGGTGGCCATTCCACATTCCTATGGCAAGGGGTGGGGGGGAAGTCCTAAATTGTCTTTTCCCCAAGTTGTATCGCTTTCGGTGTCGCGTCAAGAGACTAATCCATTCTGAAACATGGCACAGCAGCACAAACAGCCCACTGAAGTGAGTGTCACAGAGCTACTTCTGAGATCCTTTCAAGACGACCTCTTCCACACGGGAGAGGCCGGCACTTCCCCACACCCCCCACCACCCACCCTCTGCACGTGCGAGCGACGGTGGTCGCAACACTCAAGCGGATATTTTTTTCATTCAAAGAGTCGCTGCTTATTCGCGTGCTTAGCAAATTCGGATATTTTATTGAAAACGACAAACAAACGCATGGACGTGAAGATCGGAAGCAGCGCCCCAGGGACGTATCTCCCAGGGGCTCCAAACACCACAAGCTATGGGCTGGACAGCACCGACAGAGGCTATGAGTTATAACTGGGGGGGGGGGGGGGCGGTTTGTGAGCACAGCAAATGATTAGCCAATCAAACCCAACTTGCCAAACACGAGTTCTGTCCCGAACCCGAACTAGCGCTACCTCTAACACGAGCCCTGCCCATAACCACGAGCCAACTCGCCACTGGCCCGATCTCTAACATTAAGTCGACCTCCAACAAAGCAAAGGACCCCCCCCCCCTCTCTCCACGTATGTCTTCATCTGCAGTTGGCGATCACGGCCAATCAGGAGAGCACTGCCCGTGTCTCTCTCTCACTCGGGCAACACAAACGCAGCCCCCCCCCACCCAATCTATCTCACACAGGAGCTAACAGCTGCTCAGCGGCACCCGCGGCTCCACCCGGCCGCTGCGCCGATACGTCCGTGACGAAGCACAACTTGGGGGAGCGACCGGATCGTGTTGATTAGAACCTGGATGTGGTGGTGGAGGTGGTGGTGGATGTGGTGGTCGTTGTGGTGGTTGTGGTTGTGGTGGTTGTGGTGGATGTGATGGTGGTGGTGGTTGTGGCGTTCCGTTTAGTTGATGGTGAGGACGTCCGTCTGGATCTCGTGGCTCAGCTGCGTCTGGAGGTCGCTCAGCTTCTTCTTGAGGACGCCGAGCGCCATGAGGACCACGTTCTCGGGGCGCAGCGCGCCGGACGTCTCCACGTTAAAGTAGAAGCTACGCGCGCACACACAGATCAAAGATCCCCCATATAGCCTTAACAGACTGTAGGGGCAAGTACTGTTAGCGAGCACCTATGAAGGCCGGCACGGCAAACGAGGGGGTGGGTGGCCAGCACCACGCCCGGCCGCCTTTCTCTCCCTAGCGGCGATGTTTACACACCACACCAGGTGCTCATTTGAGGCTGAGTCGACCTAGGGGAGGCCCAGGACCGGTTCAGATAATCGTCACTGGTGTTTGACGTGAGCGGGAATCGAACCCGGGTCGCCAGGTTCGTCGTGCAGCGCGCTAACCGCTACACTACAGCTCCCCCCACACACACACGCACACACACACACACGCGCACACACACACGCGTACGTTCACACGCGTATGTTCACGTGGGTACGTTCACGCAAGGTACGTTCACAAGCGCGCACGGGTAGTTGGGATTCGTAGCGCTGTGCAAATGCCACCATGCCACCGCTGCCCACACACACACACACGACAAATATAAAGACAAATATTCCCATTATAGCCTTAACAGACTGTTGGGGCAAGTGCTGTTCGCGAGCACCGATAAAGGCCGGCAAGACACACGAGGCGGTGGGTGGCCAGCACCACGTGGCGATGTTTACACTCCGCACCAGGTACTCATTTGAGGCCGAGTCGACCTAGAGGAGGCCCAGGACCGGTTCAGATAATCATCACTGGTGTTGGCTGTGAGCAGGAATCGAACGCGGACCGCCGGGTTCATAGTGCAGCGCGCCAACCACTACACTTTTGCTCGCCACACACACAGCCACAGATTCAAATGCGTGTCCACGCACACACAGACGACACACAAACGCAGACCCACACAATGCGTGCATCTCACCGGTTGGGCACTCCGTTGGGGTCAAAGGGCGCCTGAATTTCATCCTCTTCGAGCTCGGAGTACTCGCTCTTGGGCCTGGGGCGGTACGGAAGGGAGGAAGACAGGATGGCGGAACGGAACGGCGGAGGATAATTCATCAAAAAATGTTACAAATAAAAACCAGCGCCTCTTTCCCCCCGAGCTCCGTACGAGTGCGCGTGTGCCCTCTCTACGCATAGTCTGGACGTAGCCATGTTTAGACGCGATACAAATCCGACCAGTATTCTCAGCCACTGCAGGCAAAATAATTATTATTATTATATTTTACACACAGTCAAAACTGCATCTCAAAACACTGAACATTGCGATTCTCGTGAACATGATATATACAGTAAAACCTTGGATTGCGAGTAACTTGTTCTACGAGTGTTTTGCAAGACGAGCAAAAAAATTAAATAAATATTAATTTGATAAACGAGCAAGGTCTTGCAATACGAGTAGTACGTGTATACGCTTTGTTTGCCGAGCGTCACGTGATCACAACTGATATACGAGTGCTTTGGATTACAAGCACGTTTTCGGAACGAATTATGCTCGCAATCCAAGGTTTTACTGTAAAACGAGATAAACTACGGAGACACAGCTCACACACACACGACACAGGGTACGGAGGTGAACACAACACGAGCCACAGAGAACAACATAAGAGACACAACAAAACCGTTGTACCGGTATCAGAAGTCGCAATCGGGTACCCGATACCCGTACCCTACCCGATACTCGGCTACCTGTACCCAGCCGGGTACGGGTACCCGTTTGGTGCGGCCGGGTACGGGTAGGCCGTGAGTCACTGGTAGGCCGTGAGTCACTGGTGAGTCACCGTTTGTCACTCATTTCTCAACGTCTTGTCTCTTCTCACAATTCAAGTTCCTAGAATCAACCCACCCGCACCTGCAACATGGCTTCATCCCAGAGGTCGCAATCGGGTACCCATACCCTACCCGATACCCGGCCGGGTACGGGTAGCCGGGTATCGGGTAGGGTACAGGTACCCGATTGCGACCCTGATGCGGCCGGGTACGGGTAAGGAATCAAAACCCGTTTGCGACCTCTGACCTGTATCCCGCGATTTACAAAAGGGATGCGTTCTTTAACGCGCGTACAACGAAATCTCGTAAAGCGCAACGGCTTTCCCCATTATAATTCAATACTAACAGGGAATGTGTTTCGGACGGTCATTCTAACTCGCAGGCCCTACTGGGGACCATACCATTCCTCGGGCTTGGGGAAGATGGTGTGGCGCAGGGCGTTGTCGGGGTCGTACTCGAAGGCGACCCCCGCCGTGGGGTTCCACTTGGCGTGCTCCTTGCCGAAGCCCTTTTTGGCGTGAGCCCGTAGCTTCAGCTCCTGGCCCTTGCGCAGCTTCACGATCAGGATGTCTGCACGCACGCGACACGTGCCGACGTTCAAACACGTGGCGGCGCACGCGACGCACGCGATCGACACCCAGCGGTCGCACCGCGTGCACGCGACGTAGCCAAAGACGACGAAGAATACGTTCCCCCGCCGTGGCCTCAAGACTTTTTGTGGTAAGCGCTGCGAGCGAACGCCTAACGAAAACCGGCTTTGGCGGTGGGTGGGTGGCCAGCATCTCGCCCGGCCAGTGGCGACGTTTATCCATCGCACCCGGATAACTCAATTGAGGCCGAGTTGACCTAGGAGGGAGGGACCGGGACCGGTTCAGATATTCGTCACTGGTGTTGGCCGTGAGCGGGAGTTGAACTCGGGGGGTGCCGGGTTCGTGGCTAGGCGAGTTAACCACCGCGCCACCGCTCTTTACAACACACCGCATCGCACGCAGCATGCACGACAACAGCCGGACTCGGCGCTGCCTCACCGTCCTGTTCGCCGTAATCGTTGGGGTCGTCCTCCCTGCTGCGTGACGTCACCTGGAGGCGGCACGAACACAGGCACAACACGTGAACACGCGGTGCGCGCACGCAAACCTACAAAAACATGAGGAGGTTCCTGCCAATCTTGATTTGAAGCTTTCGTGACTGCAGGAATCCATACTCTTTGGTTCTTTCGGTAAAGTCACGTAGATATAAAAATAATAGATCACGACATTTCGATCGCAACACAAGCAATCGTCATCAGGTGAGACAACTACAGCAAGATAAAACTGCTGAAGTAGGCGAGATTCCTGCAAAGTTATTTTTTTTTTGTATTAGCAGGCGGTGGTTGCTGTGTACATTTCAACGGAGTCATTTGCGACGTAATTTTTATCACGTGTGAAACTTGGAGCCGCGACGCCGCCACGCAATGGCCGACTCGTGCTGTATGTTTACGGTCAATACGCTCACAGCCGCGGTATTAATCAGGGCAGCCCGATGGATTTGAACCGTGAACCAAGCGGCGAGCGTGCGACCGCGAGGCCGTGTCGCCGTGCTGGACGACCGATCCAGGACACCATTGTCAGCGGTGATCTACCGGGCAGCTACTAGGGTTAGAGTTTGAGTTTTGACATGACCAAGGTTAGGAAAGTACGCTTTTATAATCTAACGGTTTGTGGGTTAGGACCAAGATATGCAAGAAATCACCAGTGAGAAGAAGAGTGGCGTCGCGTGTTTGGCTCTGGTACGAGGAATTAAATGCGCCTTGAACTTGTGACTTCTTTCGCACCAATACGTAGCCAACCGTGCTAATCTTAGGTGCTGGATGCCCACACCCTCCCACCCCATTGCTGTTCCCCTGTGCATGCCCTCCCCCCTCACCTCAGCAGCTGGGTCCCTCGGCCCGTGGGCCCCCAGGGCAGTTGCACCGCCTGCACATTGCTCGTCAGCTGCGCCACTAGAGAGGGATTGCCACTCCGAGCATCACGTGCGCAGGAAGTGCGGTGCGATGTGTGTGTGTGTGGAGCAATAGTGTCGCGGTTACTGCGCTGTGCTACGAACGCGGCGACTCGAGTTCGATTCCCGCTCACGGCCAACACCGGTGACGATTATCTGAACCGGTTCTGGCCCTCCCCTAGGTCGACTCAGCCTCAAAAACGAGAACCCGGTGCGGTGTGTAACAACATGGTCACTGGGGCTAGACTGGGATCGTTGTCTTTGTTTTGTGCGTGCGTGTGCGCGCGTGTGTGCGTGAGCGCGTTCGTGAGCGTGCGAGCACGGCGCACGTACGGGGACGACGCGGGGGTTGGTTGAGATGAGGTCACGTGAGGTCACGTGCCGCGTCTGGTCCTCCGAGCACTTCACCTCCAGGTTCAGCTCCACCGAGCACTCGGCGCAGAACTCATCGCAAGTGCAGTCCTGCTCGCACGCACACACACATACACGCACACACGAGTGCACGCACGCACACACACATGCACACAAGAGGGAGTTATAGAGTGAAGAGGACAAGGATGAGACATGTGCGGAGGTGGTGACGTTGCCCAGCGGGAGAGGGTTCGCAGCTTGTTCGTGGTTCAAATTTGGCAGGCAGCCCTGGTTATTACTGCAGGTGCATTAACCATATAGTGCTGTGCACCATCTGCTTCATTGTGGATGTTGAAGATCTCCTAACGTCATTTGAAACGAGTAAGCCATCGTGTGCCTGCGCCATGGTTCAAGTTTTGCCAAATTACACTGCCAATTACTAAATTGAGATTGCACACAGCAGCAAGATCGTCTCCGACTGTGAAACTACTGTGTCTGGGAAAAACTCGGCAAAGTCCTCCGTGATGATCGCCCGGTGCTACGAGAACGATATCGCCATGACGATTTGATGCGTCTGCAACGAGCGCAGCGCGGTTTCATGGAGGTGCGGGCAAAGATATCGATCGATGCACGTCACGATGCACGGACTAAAATGAATTCACGATACATACGTACCGTATTGAAACGTTCCTTAGAACTGATGACTACTTACCGGATATATCGATTCATTGATTACAAGTGTGGTTAGCACGATGAGCTACAAATCCGGCAACTCGAAAACCCGCCATGGGATGAGCGGGATAGACCGCCCAAAGCATCTCCCACGAATCCACAAAAAAAAAATACCAGGTAAGGCCCACTGGGCTATGTGTAGCTTTGTTTCAGAAGCGACCTGGCCACCAATGATAGCTCAGCAAAAGTGGCTCATCACGTGGACATTCATAGCAACCAAAAAACTGTCAACGCATTTTGATTCTGAAAGTGGAGGGGAAAACCTGAGGACCCAGAGAAAAATCCACACGACCACGGGAAGAGAGAGAGACGCAGACTTCGAATATACAGCAGCAGGCATCGTCAGGGTCAGGATCGAACACACAACCTCCTGTATAGCAGGCGAGGTAGTGAACATCTCACCACCGTGGCACTCCACTCCCCGCCCTGTCACACAGCCTCTCTGCCACAGGCACCTACCCTAGAGTACTGCATCTTGTCCACGATCTCGTCGCTGGTGAGAGGGATGAGCCCTGCGGGGGGATAGGCGAGGACACGGGGGTTAACGCGACACGGTAAGAGTCTCGCACGACGGAACCGTCCTTCCCGCACACGGCGGTCGTGTTGAATTTACGGCGTCGGGCATCGTGAGGGCAGCGGCGCGTGACTGGAAGAGGCAGGAAAAAATCAGGAGAAAGGGGACACAGAGAGCGGAGAAAAGAGGGAGCAGTGGTCAAGAACAGAGCGAGGAGTCGGGGCAGCAGAGAAGGGGAGGGTGCGGCCAAACAGCAGCAGTGACCATAGCCGGTCCAGGCAGGTGCGGTTAAAGGACGTGGGGGTCACGCACCGACGCGGTGAGCGATGAACTCATCGTGCAGGACCGAGGAGTTGGCGTCGATCTGAACCCAGTCGATCGCTGCAACAAGAACACACACAGCGGCACACGTCACGCGGAAGAGCGATCGAGCGATTGTGCGACCGCTTCGTGTGCTCCCGTGTGCTAAAGCGCAAGGGACGTGAGGGGTTGCGAGTTCGCTCACTCACCGAGGGTGGGGACCTCGGCGTGGAACGTCCGGCGGAGGGAATTGGCGACGCTGGAGGTACAGAATTGGCGGAACGCTCATTACACACAAAGTACTCTTGCCACAAATGAACCACAATACCTTGCTGATCTCGCCAAGGAGCATAGACCATCACGCAAACTCTGGTCATCCTCTCAGCGGCTTTTGGCTAGACATCGAACAAAGACGGTCACCGCATCGCGCGCTTTCAGATGCGCTTCTGCGGCCGTCTGGAACGTTCTTGCTTCTGATACCAGGAAGCCACTGGAGCTACGCACTTTTAAATCATCTGCATTGCAAACTAATTCTTTAGAACTGCTTTTTGTGTTTAGTTTCAGTTTGGTGTTTTAACATCTTAACACCTAAATTTCGATTTAAAGCTTTCGTGACTGCAGGGATTCATCTTCTTGGTTCTTTTGGTAAAGTCACGTAGAATGGAAATAATAAAATAATAAAAATAAAACATAAGCAGCCGTCCTCAGGTGAAGACCAGGTCTGTCGGGGACTGCTTGCGTTGTGGCCAAAACGTCGTGAGAATTATTATGTTTTATTTTTATTATTTTATTATTTCCATTCTACGTGACTTTACCGAAAGAACCAAGAAGATGAATCCCTGCAGTCACGAAAGCTTCAAATATAAATATTGAATGATGTTTTATTATTTTATTATTTCCCTTCTACGAGACTTTACCGAAAGAACCAAGAAGATGAATCCCTGCAGTCACGAAAGCTTTAAATATAAATATTGAATTATGTTTAATGTTTATTATTTTATTATTTCCATTCTACGTGACTTTACCGAAAGAACCAAGAAGATCTTAACACCTGTTTTGTTGCCAGAAAAAAGGGGAAAACCTATTCGCATTATTATAAACAGTTTGCCTTTAGAGGCTAACCCCCTTTTCCTGTGTAGCGATCGAAACGTCGTGGTTTTTATTTTTATTGTCATTATTTTTTTCTATCTACGTGACTTTACCGAAAGAACCAAAGAATATTATTATTATTAAAGTTGGGTTGGGATGCGTTGGCGTGTGTGTGTGTGGTTCTGGTTGGCTGCACTGGCTCCAGGCATATGCCACTCATGTTGAGGTTGGCGTTAGTATCGACGATGGCGCGACGATTAGCGTTAAGTGTCCACGCTAGTGTTAGCGCTAGTTAGTCAAGAGGTTCGTGTAGACGCAGGCTACGCGATAGTGTTAGTGCATGCTCGTGCCTGTGGTATAATGTTAGTACGCGATGGAGCTAGAGTGCATTATTGTGCACACAAGTGCCAGTGTACAGGATAGCGTACACCATGGTGTTAGTACGTGCTAATGTTAGTGCACGCTATTGTATGGGTTAATGTTACGCGCAAGTGTTCGTACACCCTACTGCTGGTTATAATGTTAGCGTACATCACAGGATTAGAACACGCTACTGCTCATGTGAGCGTACACTAGTGTTTAGTAAGCGTTATAGTACACACGAATGCAGGCTAGCACGAGTTGGTACTAACACTAGCGCTTGTGTGCACAGGCGCGTACTAACACTCACACTCGTGCTAGCGTGTAGACACGCACACGGACGCCTGCGTGAATGTTAGTCCACAAGGGCGCTAGTGTTAATACAGATAAGCACCAATTATAACACACACACACACTAGTGGTAGTACACGCTAGTGATATAGTACCACGCTAGTGTTATAGTACCACGCTAGTGTTATAGTACCACGCTAGTGATATAGTACCACGCTAGTGTTATAGTACCACGCTAGTGATATAGTACCACGCTAGTGTTAGTACCACGCTAGTGTTAGTACCACGCTAGTGTTAGTACCACGCTAGTGTTAGTACCACACTAGCGCTAGCGACGTAGGCCGTGGGACTTGGGGCCTGGTCTCCCGCCGCACCGCGCGCCTCCTCATCCTCGCCCTCCTCCTTCCCCGCCGCTTACGCGAGGTCCGTGTCCTCCACGATGAACTTGACGTTCTCGTCGGTGAGCTCCGAGATCTTCACCGTGGGCTGGTTGGCGTACGGCATCCCGTCGTCCGCTAGGCCCCAAGCGCGCGAAGGGGTCGGTGATGGGGGCGGCCACACTGGGACGGGAACAGCCCAGCGGGTTACCATGGTGATCGGCCATCTTACGTAGGGTTAGGGGGGGGGTGTCACTGGTGCGGCCATCTTACGTAGGGTTATGGGGGGGGTGCGGCCATCTTACGTAGGGTTGAGGGGGGGGGTCACTGGTGCGGCCATTTTACGTAGGGTTAGGGGGGGGGGGGGTGCGGCCAGCTTACGTAGGGTTTTGGGACCGGGGTGGTCATCTTACGCAAGGATTCATATTCTTAGGTTTTTTTCGGTAAAGTCACGTAGGTAAAACATTAAAATTAATAAAAGTAAAATAAAATAAAAATCACGACGTTTCGGAGGCAAATCTAGAATCTTACGCAAGGTTGTGCGGGGGGGGGGTGCAACCAGGACAGCCATCTTACGTATGGATGTGTGAGACCTGATGCCACCGGGGCGGCCATCTTACGCAAGGTTGTGCGGGGGGGGGGGGGGGGCAACCACGACGGCCATCTTACGTACAGTTGGGGGGAGGGACGACCCATTGCCACCAGGGCGGCCATCTTACGTAGGGTTCGGGTGGGAAGGGATGCTACCGTGGCCATCTTACGTAGGGTGGTGGGGGGGGGGCATATGCCATCGGTGCGGCCATCTTACGTAGGCTTTGTTGAGGGTTGTGAACCGGATGCCACTGGAGCGGCCATCTTGCGTAGGGTTTGGAGGCGACCGGATGCTACCGGGACCGCCATGTTGGGTAGGGTTGGGGGGGTGTACAAATGAACAGATTCCTGCGGAGGGAGCTGGTAGGAACGTTGGGTTGCTCGGTCAATGGCCTGCAGGGTCAACGGCGGCGTGGTGTATTCCGCAAATATGGCCGACTGTGAGGGCGGGCACAAGCCGGCGTGAGTAGGTGAAACGTTGAGTTTTATAAGGGCACCACGGGGTGACCAGCCCCTCCCCACCCAGCCCCACCCCTCCCAGCCCTCCACCCAGCCCCACCCCTCCCACCCTCCCCACCCAGCCCCTCCCACACCCACCCTCCCCACCCAGCCCCACCCTCCCCTCTCCACCCAGCCCTACCCCTCCCACCCCACACCCAGCCCGACCTTCCCCACCCAGCCCCTTCCCACCCTCCCCACCCTCCCCACCCAGCCCCTCCCCACCCAGCCCCACCCCTCCCACCCCTCACCCAGCCCACCCCTCACCCAGCACCTCCCCACCCAGCCCCTCCCCACCCTCACCAACCAGCCCCTCTCCACCCAGCCCCTCCCCACCCAGCCCCTCCCTGCACGACTGACGGACGGACACAATAATCCCCTGTGGGCTGGTGGAACCAGGAGATTCCTACCAGTATAAATCCAACGAGCTATGAGGTTATGTTTCACAGATTGTTCCTTGAAGGTGGGGCGGGCCAGCAATACGAACAAACGATATATTTAAATCCCAAAACTATAGGCGTGTAAAATCGAGTAGGAGGCAAGGGAGTCACTAAATATGCCCTGATACAGCTCAAGGTTCATCCGACAAAGTCCCATCACAATGGAGAAACAAACAAACAGACCAAAAAAAAATGGACCAATCAACTCAATGTCCCTGTAGAAGAATACGGCTCAACCTCATGGGTTGACAGCTATGAAGATGTGTCTAGCCCAAGCCTCCGTGATGTGTCCAGGTTGAGTTCCCTGAATCCACGAGTTCTTTTTCGATTTAAAGCTTTCGTGACTGCAGGGATTCATCTTCTTGGTTCTTTCGGTAAAGTCACGACGTTTCGGCCACAACGCAAGCAGCCGTCCTCAGGTGAAGACCAGGTCTGTCGGGGAGACCGCGTCTGAATGAGACAGACCTGTTCTCCACCTGAGGACTGCTGCTTGCGTTGTGGCCGAAACGTCGTGAGAATTATTAATGTTTTATTTTTATTATTTTATTATTTTCATTCTACGTGACTTTACCGAAAGAACCAAGAAGAAGGTCCCATGATATAGCTGCTTACCTCTAGCTATAAATGCTGTGATGGTGCATTGTCTTCGCTGTGTTCGCCTTGTGGTGTGTTTCTCTGGTCTGACACTGGTGAGGCTAGGTCGTAGAGAACAAGGCAGTCCTCTGTTGTAGGCCAATCAGTTTCAGAGACAATGCCATTATATTATTATTATCAGAGCCACATGTTTGTTTGCATGTTCACCACAAGTACGTGTGGTTAATGCAGAGTTTCTTCCTTGCAAATTGTTTCTATTTGGTGTTTAAACATCTTAATACCTCTTCTTGGTTCTTTCGGTAAAGTCACGTAGAAGGGAAATAATAAAATAATAAAAATAAAACATAAGAATGTTTTATTTTATGTTTTATTTTTTTTAATAATAAAAATAAAACATAAGAATGTTTTATTTTTTTTATTAATAAAAATAAAACATAAGAATGTTTTATTTGTATCCTTAATAATGCTTTATTTTTTTACTTCTACGTGACTTTACCGAAAGAAGCAAGAAGATGAATCCCTGCAGTCACGAAAGCTTTAAATCGAAAATCTTAATACCTGTTTTATTGACAGAAAGGGTAAAAACCTATTCTTATTTTTCGTACCATTGACACTGGCAAAAAGGTCCCATGATAAAACCTGCATGTAATTGTGACTTGTTTGTGGCAGAAGAGGGCCTTGTGTATATCGCAGATGCCATCCCAGGTAAAATAAGGCAATGTTGAGCACAAAGTTGGCTTGCGATTGGAACCTTTGGCCCAACTGCGGTGCAATAATTTTCCATGTTTACCGGGATGCCCAATTTGTGAATGTAATCCTGATTTTTGTATTAAAACGAGAGAGAAGAAAAAAAGTCTACCTACGAAATTTTGAACGATCCAAATATTGTTTGCATCAGCTCGACCCGAAATTGGAAGCGGCGTCAACGAATTTGCGGTCACTTTTTCCACCAAAAAGATCGGCGTTACACGTGGCGCTGTGGGCGAAAGGTCACTTTTGTTCGCGTGCCGACACGAAGATGTTTAAGACATTCCGCGAACGATCCGCCAAATCCAAAATGAAAACGAAATCGGTGTGAAAAATCTCAAATATGGAAGTTCGTCCCCGACGCGCACTGTGCAACTGTCAGGTCGGAGCTCGGCTGTAACGCAACGAGACGCGAAATGAAATGTCAGGTAAACTAACACTGGTAGGAACCTCCTGGTTACACCAGCCCACAGGGGATTATTGTGTCCGTCCGTCGTGCATCCAATAATGGGAGAGGTAGGGCTGGGTGGAGAGGGGAGGGTGGGGAGGGGCTGGGTGAGGAAGGTCGGGCTGGGTGTGGGGTGGGAGGGGTGGGGCTGGGTGGGGCTGGATGGGAGATGGGCTGGGTGGGGCTGGGTGGGGAGGGGCTGGGTGGGGAAGGTCGGGCTGGGTGGGTGGTGGAAGGGGTGGGGCTGGGTGGGGAGGGGCTGGTCACCCCGTGGTGCCCTTATAAAACTCAACGTTTAACCTACTCACGCCGGCTTTTGCCCGCCCTCACAGTCGGCCATATTTGCGGAATACACCACGCCGCCGTTGACCCTGCAGGCCATTGACCGAGCAACCCAACGTTCCTACCAGCTCCCTCCGCAGGGATGTGTTAAGTTCAACTTGTAACAATACCGCCACCACAGCCGCATGGTATTTGCTTACTTCCGAAGAGAGAGGGCGACTCGGAGGCATGAGGTGGAACCCACGGCTGAGCGGGGAAGGCAGCAGCCAGGCACGTGAGCTGGCGCTACCAACAATTGTCCAAGTTCCGCGGCCCTCTATATGCTAAGATGTTTTCAGCCAATTAATGAGCGCATATACGTATGGGAGGAAACCGGAACGTGAGAAAACTCATGTGTGCGAGGGAGCAACACTCGATCCCATACAGATAGAATAAGTGGGGTCCACATTTTGGCTGTACCTTCCTTCCGCCTCAACACCCATGGGGAGCTGTCACATCCGTGCATGATCCACCTACCCTCTCTGCCTTCACAGTGCTGGATCAGAGGCCACGTGCCTAGCCACCACCGGTCATCTAAAGTGACTTAACACCACTCACACGGCCTCTCCACACCAGAGGTCGCAAACGGGTTTTGATTCCTTACCCGTACCCGGCCGCACCAGGGTTGCAAACGGGTACCCTTACCCGGCCAGGTATGGGTACCTGTACGCTACCCGTACCCGTACCCTACCCGAAATGAGTGACAAACTGTTACTCACCAGTGACTCACGGCCTACCCGTACCCGGCCGCACCAGGGTCGCAAACGGTAGCCGGGTATCGGGTAGGGTACAGGTATCGGGTACCCGGTTGCGACCTCTGCTCCACACCCCACGATGGTACCCAAAAAAACCCACGCAAGCCGTGTCCTTCATTGACAATGCCTTTATTAGACAACACTGACATGCACTTCGCAGTGACATTGATAACAAGTCCGTTGCCGAACATACTTCAACACACGCGTGGACACATCGTATCAGTTGCAGTGCCTACCGACATCCCTGATGGTTAACCGTAGCCCCTAACATGGTTGCCTACTGGCACATCTTGCCAATGATGTCTCTCCCCGCTGCTTATTCTACCATCACATTCGCGAGCCGTAGGCCTGGTAACGATTGTGCCCCCGGTGAATTGTTCACGGCTCTGGGTCACGATTCGTGTCACGATTCGATCCCTCTCTGCGGCAATTTTCGCCATCTCCTTTCAAACGCATTCGATTTCTTGCTTTTACTGTCATTTTTAAATCCTTTATATTAAGTTCGCTTGCTTGCTTAGGACCGTGCAAATCTTTCGGTCGTTTTTTAACCCACTTCCCGTGATCCAATCGAGCTGACATTTTGCGCACAGACTCGTTGTGTGTGACAATGCATTTTCGTGAAAAAATGTTTCCAAAATTTTACACGGTTTAGGGAAAAATAAATAAATATTTAATTCCCTATTGCTTAATAGTGCCAGGCAATCATCTGACCCATAGGTGGCAGCCATCTCAAGCCAGAGGACGAGAGGACTCTAGCCGCCCCGATGCCACGCATATAAAGGATTTATAGTGAAAAACTTA